TGACCACATTGGCCTGTATGCCTTATGTTTATGCCCCTCCATCAATATGTTGGGGTTGGGGGGAAGGCTGCGCTGCTCCCGGCATCGCCCCCAGAAGGTCTCGACCTCCTCTGACATCTCCTCTGTGCTGATGAAAACTTGGAAGAGCAGAGTCAGAAGGAGGCGGGGGAAATTGTTCTTCACTCCACCTGGGCACCAGTGCAGCTGGAGAATCTCCCAGAGTGCCACAGTTGCCTGCCAAAGACAAAGCACCCAGAGACAGCTCTCAGGGCCCAGATGTCCATGTGGCAGGGCCCCAGCATGGCAGGGAGAGGCCAGGGGAGACACAGGGGGATCCCCCGGCCTGGTGGCCCTGAACCTGCCCCTAAGCCAGGGTTGCAGCCCAGTGCCTGGGGCAGGGAGAAGCAGTGGTGAGGGAGGATGAAAAGGCATCCCAGAGGCAAGCTGGGGGTGAGCAGAGGCCAGCTCAATAAACTCAAAGCCAGGGCAAAGACATCTCTCTCATCCCCATCAGAGGTGCGTGTCCTGTGCGCTGGCCAGAATTCCAGCGCACGGAAGAGGATCTGCAGCACCGGCTCCTTAGTCCCTCTGGAGGAGATGAGCGTCCTCCACATGGTGCGAGCAGCTCTGTGGAGTCACAACTCTGGCTCAGGGGGGTCTGGGACACAGCACAGTGGCCTGGGCATCTGCAGGGCCCAGGTGACAGAGCCACGGTGCCTTTTGGGGCAGGGAGGCAGGCTGGCCTCAGGATTGGGGGCTGACATGCCAAAGGTGGCAAAGAGAGGAGCTGGAGTGTCCTGGAAATCTCCATCTCTCTGGCACACCATTTGGGACAGGCTGTGCAGGGGGATGGGGTCTAAAGGCAGGTGAGCCCTCAAGGCAGGTGGGCCCCATACCTGTCACAGGCTGGGGCAGAGCGCAGCAGGGTCACTGCAACATCCACAGGGTGTGCCTCGGTCAGCAGGACAAGAGTATTGTCCAGCCTGTGCTCAGCAGACACATTGGACGTGAGCCACTGGTG